TACCAAACATTCAAAGAAGATTTACTACCTATCTTTCTCAAACTATTCCAAAAAATTGAAGAAGACAGAATATTTCCTAACACATTTTACGAGGCCAACATCACCCTAATACCAAAGGCAGACAAGGACAACACAAAGAAGGAAAATTACAGGCCAATATCACTGATGAAAATAGATGAAAAAATCCTCAACAAAATATTGGTAAACCGAATACAGCAATACATTAAAAGGATCATACACCATGATCAAGTGGGATCTATACCAGGGGTGCAGGGATGGTTCAACATCTGCAAATCAATCAATGTCATTCACCACATAAACAAAATGAGAAATAAAAATCACACGATCATCTCAATAGATGCAGAGAAAGCATTTGACAAGGTCCAACATCCATTTATGATAAAAACTCTCAACAAAATGGGTATAGAAGGAAAGTACCTCAACATAGTAAAGGCCATATAAGACAAACCCACAGCAAACATCATACTCAACGAGGAAAAACTGAAAACCATCCCTCTGAGAACAGGAACAAGAGAAGGGTGCCCACTCTCCCCACTCTCATTCAACATAGTACTAGAGGTTTCGACCAGAGCAATTAGGCAAGGAAAAGGAATAATAGGTATCCAAATTGGCAATGCAGAAGTGAAACTATCACTGTTGCAGATGACGTGATTCTACATAGAGAAAACCCTAAAGAATCCATTGGAAAATGTTAGAAATAGTCAACAACTACAGCAAAGTTGCAGGGTACATAATCAACTTACAAAAATCAGTTGCATTTCTATACTCTAAAAATGAACTAACAGAAAGAGAACTCAAGAATACAATCCCATTTACAATTGCAACAAAAAGAATAAAATATCTAGGAATAAACTTAACAATGGAGGTCAAAGACCTCAACAATGAAAACTATAAGACATTATTGAAAGAAATCAATGACGACACAAAGAAATGGAAAGATTTTCCATGCATGCACATGGATTGGAAGAATAAACAGAGTTAAAATGTCCATATTATTTGCAGCAATACACAGATTCAATACAATCCACTCTGAATCCCAACGACGTGCTTCATGGAAATAGAACAAAGAATCCTAAAATTCATATGGGGCAACAAAAGACCCCAAATAGCTAAAGCAATCCTGAGAAAAAAGAACAAAGCTGGAGGCATCACAATCCCTGACTTCAAAATATACTACACAGCTATAGTAATCAAAATAGCATGGTACTGGTACAAAAGCAGACACACAGATCAATGGAACAGAATTGAAAGCCCACAAATAAAACCACACATCTATGGACAGCTAACCTTCAACAAAGGAGCCAAGAACATACAATGGAGAAAGAAAGTCTCTTCAATAAATGGTGTTGGGAAAACTGGACAGCCACATGCAAAAGAACGAAAGTAGATCATTATGTAAAAATTAACTCTAAATGGATTAAAGACTTGAAGGTAAGACCTGAAACCATAAAACTCCTAGAAGAAAATATAGGCAGTACACTCTTTTACATCAGCCTTAGAAGGATCTTTTCAAACACCATGTCTACTCAGGCAAGGGAAACAAAAGAAAAAATAAACAAATGGGACTTCAGACTAAAGAGCTCCTGTAAGGCAACGGAAATCAGGAACAAAATGAAAAGACAACCCACAAACTGGGAGAAAATATTTTCAAATCATTTATCTAACATGGGGTTAATCTCCAAAATATATAAAGAATTCATACAACTCAACAACAACAACAACCAAAGAAAACAATCCTATCAAAAAATGGGCAGAGGATATGAACAGACATTTTTCCAAAGAAGATATACAGATGGCAAACAGGCACATGAAAAGATGGTCAACATCACTAATTATTAGGGAAATGCAAATCAAAACTACAATGAGATATCACCTTATACCTGTTAGAATGGCTATAATCACCAAGACGAAAAATAACAAATGTTGGAGAGGATGTGGAGAAAAGGGAACCCTTATACACTGCTAGTGGGAATGCAAACTGGTGCAGCCACTATGGAAAACAGTATGGAGATTCCCCAAAAAGTTAAGAATAGAACTATCATATGATCCAGCTATTCCACTGCTGGGTATTTATCCAAAGAACGTGAAACATGAATGAGTAAAGATATATGCACCCCTATGTTCATTGCAGCATTACTCACAACAGCCAAGACTTGGAAGCAACCTAAGTGCCCATCAAAGGATGAATGGATAAAGAAGATGTGGTATATATACAGACTGAAATACTACTCAGCCATAAGAAACAATGAAATTCGGCCATTTGTGACAACATGGATGGAACTTGAGGGTATTATGCTAAGGGAAATAAGTCAGAAGGAGAAGGTCAAATACCATATGATCTCACTCATAAGTAGAAGATTAAAACAACAACAAATAATCACATAGAGACAGAGATTGGATTGGTGGTTACCAGAGGGGAAGCGGGGAGGGAGGAGGCCAAAAAGGATGATTGGGCACATGGGTGTGGTGATGGATTGTAATTAGTCTTTAGGTGGTGAACATGATGTAATCTATTCAGAAATTGAAATATAATGATGTACACCTGAAATTTATATAATGTTATAAATGAATGTTACCACAATAAAAATAAATAAATAAATAAATAAATAAATAAATAAATAAAATAAAACACTCATTTTCACTTGTAAAATAAATAAATAAATAAAATCCTAATCTTAAAAAAGAAAGAAAGAAACTTGCCATGGTAACTTCCAGAATTGATCTTTTCCTCTGGCTTTCTGGCTTTGGTTCTCCATACCCATTCCCCCACCCCATAACTATGGTCCCTTCTCAGCTCCTCACTCACCCATCTGGGTCTTTGCCCACACTCTTACATATGCGAGAAACCTTTCTTCTCCTGATACACATAGCCTTACCTCCTTAACACTTCCTTCTCTATTTACCACCAGCAAAGTGTCTGTGCATTTTCCAAGGCCAAACACTTGGCCTTCACTCCCATTCCCTCACCCCTACACCACCACATTGGTCCAGCAGTTCTCCTGTGCCGTTCTACATTATCGTTTATCCCTCTCGACTGGATCTTTTCCATCGACATCCAACATGCCATGTCTCTCATCTTTTCTTTAAAAAACCCTCTGGATCCCCCTTCCCCCTCCAGCTATTTCCTCATTTTTCTGCACCTCTGTGGACCAAAACTCCTTGAAGGAATTAATTATACTTGCTCTCACCAATTGCTCTCCTGCCATTCTCTCTTGAATCCACTCCAGTCACACCTTCACCTCCATCATTCACCTGAGTCTGTTCTTCTCAAGGCCTTGTGTGATCTCTGTGTTGCTAAATCTAATGGTCAACTGTGAGTCCTCATCATACTTGATCAATTCATAACTTTTCATGCAGTTGTTCACTTTCTCCTTGCAATACTTTCCTTTCTTGTCTTCCAGTATACGACACTCTTCTGGTTTTCCTCCTACCTCACTGGCTACTACTTCTCAGTCTCCTCTGCCTATTGGTTCCTCCTTTTCCTCCCAATTTCTTAACACTGAAGAGTCCCAGAGCCCTGTCCTTAGATCTCTCCTTCATTTACACTTATTCCCTTGATGATCTTATCAGTGTCATGGTTTTATATCTATCTATCATCTATCTATCAATTTATCTATCTATCAACATCTATCATCTCTCTCTCTCTGTGTCTCTCCATCTATCTATCTATCTATCTATCTATCTATCTATCTATCTATCTATCAATCATCTACAGTTAAGACCTTCCTTGACCACTACCAGGCTTCTGTGTTGAGAATAGACTGTTGGAGGTATGATCTCAGGAAGAAGTGAGGAGATCAGTTATGATACTATTGCAGTAATTAGAGCAGCAGAGGAGTCGAGAAGAGGTCATATTATGGATTCATTTTGAAGGTAGACAACAGGATTTACTGATGGATTGGAAGTGGACTGTTAGAAACAAAATTCAAGGATGACGTGAATTTTTTGGCCTGAACAACTGGAGAGAGAGAGATCATCAACTAATATGGGAAATACTGGGATTGGAGCAGGTTTGGTATGTGTGATTGGGGAAGGGGTGTGCAGGGAATCAGGAGTTCGCTTTTTAGATGAATATTGGACATCTAAGTCTTTATTTTGATTAGACAATTTGGGCATGTGAGACTTTCTATCCCATGAGATCATGATCTCCATGGAGGCAAGGCCTGGGTCTTAGTGACTGTTGTGTCTGGCATAATTCCTGGAACACTTGAACATTTGAATTGTTGAATGCAAGACTCAGCTCAAAGTCACTTTTATTGTGACCCTTTTGGAGACCTTCCCATCAACTGATCTTAATTGAGGGAGGCATTTATTCCACGCAGCTGAAAGGCAATAGGGGTGGAACAGGCAGCAGGGCTGCAGCAGGCTCCCAGATGGGTTACCCCTTAAAGATCTAATCAGTAACAACAGGGCGCAGAGAGGGGAGATTCCCTCCTTTGCTTCTAATATCTGTCATATTCTCTGTGTGCTTTGGATAAACACAAAGCATCTCCTCAAGGATGGAGCACTGTGACCCTCCTCTAAAACCTTCCCTCAAGATTGTGGGCATATAAAGAAGTCATCGATGGATTGTGCCTGTGGGCGAAGAATGCACTCGGTTCCTGGCTGCTACCTCTGTACTATCATCAGGCCCACATTGCTCGTCTGAGGCCGACACCATGGGAAGCCATGAAAGAATTCAAGCCTGATCTTTACCTTCGATGCACCTGAGACGACAGTCTTCTTTCTCTGCTCAAGTCCCTTTATCCACAGTCCAGGGGGGCACTGAAAGAGCTGTGTGCAATGCCGACCCTTCCGAAACATGGGTTTAACCTCCTATACCATATGAGGAGTGCTACCTACCTCCTCTACCCTCTCCATCACATACCACATTGAAAATAAGGAGGCGCAAACAGGTGGTTCTTTGCTTAGAGGTATAAAGTATATTTGGAGAGGGTCCTGCATCTGCACATTAATGGAAATAATGATGACAGCCTTTTTCAGGGGGATGCAGAGGTTTGAGAACCTCTGAACTCCCTTTTCCTGGAATGAGAATTCTCCTTGTATAGGCCAATTCCTTCTGCTGAGGTGAGAGTTGAGACCTGGGATGGATTTTCTGGTTGAGCGGCACAAGTCAGCTGAGGACAGTGCTTGGAGCTGTTGCGGGAAAGGCACAGGGACTGAGAGTGGCTGGACTGAAGGAAATGTTGCTGTAGCTCATTGTCTCGGCACTGGGGGGCATCAAAGAAGGTCAGGCCCTCCTCCGCTGTTGTCTTCGCCAACTTAGCTCTCCTCACCAGGTCTTCGGTGGGGGATGGATTCTTCTCAACCTTTTTTGTCATGGTTTTCGCCACTGTCTCATCCTTCAAGAGGAGAATGGATTCCTTATGCCCTTGACCTTTCAACTCAGGGTTAATCCAGTGTGGAAAGTGCTTCATCTTATTTCCCAAGCCAGCTTCTGCAGCTTCTGGAAGGGTAGGGCTCTTGTGAGTATGGGCTGCCTTTACCAGACCCTGCAACTCTTAGCCCTAGAAAGTGTGGCCCTACAAATTTTGGTCCTGCAAAATTTGGATCTGAAAAATGTGATCCCTTCAAATGATGGACTTGCAAAATTTGGCCCAGCAAATGATGGTGCCATAAGTTGGTCCTGTAAGGTCTGGCCCTTTAAGCTCTAGACACTCCAGATTTGGCATTCTCAGGAATCGTTGTTTGGGTGAGGTCATTCAGCTTGCTCTAACAGCCTTGCAGACCATTCTTATGTGGTCCTTTTGTCCCAAGGAATCCTGCAGGATCTAGGAGCTCAAAGTGAGGGAGAAGCTGGTGACGGTGCTGACAGCGAGCAGGAAGCTGAGAGGATGGAGATGGTGGCTCTATAGATCCAGACAGATCCTTGCTCTCCCTACTCACTCAAGGCAACCATCTTGGCCAAACTAAAAGCCTACCTGGAAAAGATCCTGGAGATACATTTGGGAAGTCAGGGGCTCTGGGGGTTCTGCTTAGAGGTGTCCCTCCTGGCCCCTGAACCTCAGCAGAGTAGATGCTCTCTGGTCGGGAAGAGCCTCAGCACAGCATCCCCATCTCTGGGATCCTCTGCTGCTCTGAGTTTCCCCGGGTCCTCTGTTTTCTCCGCTGGGGTAGGGGGTTGTCCTCACCCTTGCAGAGGCCTGGGACTCAGGGGTCCAGGGCTCCTCCGGGCTGGGGTTCTGGTCTCCAGCTGAACACAAAGCACTTGGGTCTCTGTCATGTCCCCACTGGGTCGTGAGACCTTGAAGGCCCAGGGGGAAGAACCATAAGGACTGCTCTGGGACTAGCTTCCTTTGGGTTCTGCTGCACTGCCTTAGTTTAATTGCAAGCTCTTCTTTAAGGTGAACCATGCTGGGGCACATGGAATGCCTGGTGGGATGGGGAGTTCCTGCAGCAATGTTTTCCCCTGGTTGTTTGGATTCCTAAAGGACTCCTGGGCACAGATATTCCTTGGGACAGCCATAGCTTGTTCCCTGGACTCCGTCTTTATGAGACTTCCCAAATGTATCCCTAGGAATTTCTTTTTCAGGTAAAAATTTAATTTGGCCAAGATGAGTGTCTTGAGTGCGTATGGGGTAGCAGGATCTGGCTCTCTAGAGGCACCATCTCCATTCACCTGTACTTCAGTCTGCAGCACCGGTGCACTGTCCGCACAAGTCTCATTGGAATCTTGAAAGCCTGGCCCACGACGTAGACGTTGCTGCTTAGATGAGATTGAGCCAGGGGCTCTATTGGGCCCCCAACAGGCCCAGGCACCATCTCTCTGATTGCAGATTGCCTAGTGATTGCCGGGGCCATGGCCTTGGAAAGAGCCACATAGTAAAGAGCCAGCAGCCCTCACAGGAAGGCCAAAACCTGTCTCCAGTTTCTCAATGACACCCTGGGAGGGCACCCAGGCAGGTGCTGATCAGGTGAGCAGTGACAGTGTCTGGTGAGGCCTCCTGCTGCTGCTCAAGGCCTGTCAGTGTTCAGGGCCTCACTTCCTGATCCATGCAGGGGTAATCGCTGCCTCCACATCTGGGGGCTTACTTTCCAGGGTGCAAGGGACCCGAGCTGCTGCAAGGGCCCCTGGAATGCTGCAGACCCAGTGATTTGCCTCCCAACAGCTGCAGATGTGGGCAGGGACAATGCCCTAGCAGATCTTCCCACATTTGTAGTCGATGTGGCTCTACAACATTGCCATGGCCCAGGCAAGCAACTGTGGACCGGCCCTGCTGCCACCATGGATCAGAACAGGTCTATCCCACTGGCCTCTAGGCCTGCAGGCTAGGGTCAGTCACACTGGTCAGTGTGCCGCCCTGGGGCAGAGGCTGCTGGTCAGCAGGGGACAGGAGGAACTGGATGGACTGCTGGGTCTCCTGGGGCAGCCCCAGCATGGTGAATCAACCTGCTAATCAACCCCTTCTGCGGGCGGAACTCCAGCAGCTCTGGGCATGCTCCAGGGAGACACAACTGCCCTCTTGAGGACTGAAATGGGCTTCCCCAAACAGGTAGGCCCCTGGGTCCCAGGGGACAGGCTGCAACATGTCTCATGGCTCCCTGCATCTACAGAGAAGTTGTATGGTTCTCTGCATCTAGAGATCTCGGGGCAACAGCTGGCAAGCCCCGCTGAAGCTTGAGCTGCCTTTGAGGCAGGTGACACTCCAAGCCTTCCCCCTGGGTCAGAGTCGGAAATGGGACATTGATACGGGCTTGTTGAGAGTCAGCTGGAGAAGCCCAAATTCAGGAAGGCGGGAAGAAGGTGGGGCTAAGAGAGGTGGAGGAAATTTTAGACAGTATGGAGATTAAGAAGAAATCACTGAAGGAAAAGGGACTGGGGCTCCCCTGTATGCAGAGATCTCCAGGGGCGGAGCAGGGATTCATTGCGCAGAAGAGAGGGACCATAGAAAAGTTGCTGTGTTTCTGTTGCAGATAGCACACCGAGGCCCAGCAGGTCTCCCAGGCAGTGGACAGAGGCCACTTAGAAACTGAATGGTGGTGGAGGGTGGAGCCAGAGCCATGGAGTTTGGGATTTGTGGTGGTATTTGCTCTGGGTCATAGTGGATCCTTCAGAAACCCAGACAGTTTGAGGGGACTGGCTGACCTCCCACGAGCCCAGGTCGGGGAGATAAAAGCCCATCTTTTCAACAGAGGCCTTAGAGGTAGCATTCGTGATGAAAGAAATGGCGATTTTACCCCAGGCTTGGAAAACGCTTGGGGCCGTGTGATATAAGCTGCCATAGGAACTCCTCCACAGGTCTTGGGAGCCCGCAGGTGTAGAAATGCGTGCGTTTATATACATGTCCCTAAAGAGACCTCAGGCTTTGGGGACCTAGGACCAGCAGTGAGGGGAGTGCGAGGCTGGGGCGGGGGGGTGTTGAGGCTCTCGAGCTGGGTTCAGGGGAAGAAAGGGAGTCAGGGGTTCAGGGCCGCTGACCTCGTCTCTCCAGGACACATCCAGAGCCGCTCTTCCTCTTGTCCTGCTGCTGCACAGGAGTCCCAGGCTCCTCAAGGCTTGAAGAAGACAGAGCTCCCGTGTCCCACGACACGTCTGGCACTTGAAATCCCTGCCCGAGGTCCCAGGGTGGGGAGCCCTGGCTCTGCTCAAAAGAGAGATGAGACGTGGACAAAACCTCTGGGCAAGAGGAGCCCTGTGATGGCCCCGATGACGCGGGGGAGATCAGGGTGTTCTCACCCACCAGCAACTGCCGGATCTCCAGAGCCACAGCATTGCAGATGGGGCACGAGGGATCTGCACACAGGAGCCGCCGCACGCTTCCCTCCTGAGGCAGCCAGCCCTGGCTGGGAAGGGAGACATGGCAACCATTTGTTACTGATGGAGTGACATCGGCCTCTTTGGAAGTGTGTGGCCTGGAGATTGGCCCTGCCCTCCCCTAGTCCTGTAAACCCTGGGGTCTGCACCCCTGGGTGTTTACCCGTCTACTTTTCTTCCTAGGAAAATGCCATTTGGGAAGTTATGGTGGGCTGGGCAGAGGTTCTGGGGCTCACTGGGCAAGGTCTCTGACAATCCCTGGGAGCACAGGACCACGAGAGACTGGGAGGTAGGGTGAGTTCTCTGCTGACCTGTGCTGAGAAGCTGAACCGGGAGAAGGAAACAAGGCAGATGGGGGTGGGGGGACAGTGGTTAGCTCTTGGGTCATCACCAGGTACATCACCAGGTAGAACCTGCAGTCAGTCTTGTTTGGGGCTAAGAAGGCCGCAGCCTGGTGTTCAGTATTTTCAAACTAGAAAATGAGGTCCTTCTGGGAACTTTGTATTCTGCGGACTATGGGGTGGCCCTGCTGCTGTTCTCTGGGGATCTTAAGAAGAAGATAGGATGACAGGCTCCTGTCTGAGGGCTGTCCTGGGAACTAGCCTCCCTGAAGCCAGACCAGAGGAGGCAATGTTAGTAGAGTCCAGCCAGACTCCAAGGCTCCTGCTCTTGAAAGAGTGTAGCTACAAAGAGAACATGACAGTGATGACTTATTTATGCACTTATTTATCCATTCTCTGGACTGGAGAACTTGTCTTGTGGCTGAGTGCAACCCCACATAGAGTTTTTTATGAATTACACACTAGTCAAATCCTGAATTCCAGGACCCCTGTGAGCCTAGCCCTGAGCAGAACTGGGAGATGCCTCCCTCTTGAGATGTCTGATCCCCCCTCTGTTCTGGGACCCTCTCAACCAGTGCTCCAGCCTCTGCTGTGTCTGGCTCTCTCCCAGCCATTATCCTTCTCCTCATCCTTGCTCCAGACCAAGCAGAAAAATCATCACAGGCCAGGCTGGGAGTTGGGAGACTGCAAAGAGCAAGAGATTACCTATTCATGAAAGACAGCAGCTCCCTCTTCTCAGCTGCTTCCTGGGAACATCTATCTGAGAACCCAGGAGACAGTGTTACATGGAACAGGAGAGGATTTAGGGACATCCTGTAGGAAGCTGAAGGCCTTTGAATGAGAGGAGACTGGAAACCCCAACAGTCAGTGCTCTAAGACTGTCTGCGTACAACTTAACTAGTTACAATGCGCTGTCCAGGACCTAATCTCATCTGATCTTCACAACCACACTGTGACTCAGGCAGGATCATCACATGCCCATTTCATGGATAACAAGACTGAGAGATGAAGTGAGTTCCACAGGGTCATAAAATGAGTAAATGACCACAGTTAAGGATTTCTGCCCTACTTCCTAATTTCTCACTCCTGGGGCATAAGGTGGAGAATTTGGGAACATTCCAGGCCTCTGATTTCCCACCCAAGAAAGTCTTCTAGGAGAATTCGTCAACTTGGGGAATTGGAGCCTTCAATGGTGAGAGCACTGGGCTCCCAGCACCAGGGGTCACAGAAGGACAGGATCCATGGAACCTCGCCCACAGGTAGGGGAGTCAGGGCAGAGACTTGGCCTTTACCTCTTGATGATCTTTCTTTAACCCTTTGTTTGACTCTCCAGTGATACTTGAAGACATAAAAGTTAGAGTGTGAAGCTGGAACACCCTTTTATTTTTTTTATGTCTAAAATAAGACACAACCCACAAATATTTCCCAGAGTTTTTCTGTGTTCCAATTTTATACGTTCTCCTACCTTTCTTTTCCCTACTCTACCTTTTCCACCCCATCATTTCCTTTTCCTTCTTATTTGTGATTCATTTCTAGGCTCTTCCATACTCTCTACCTCCACCCCATTCCCTGAACAAGTTTTGCAGGGAGATCAGAATGAGACGGGAGGAAAAGGGGAACAGATGGAAGGGTGGGTGGTCTAGTAGCCAAAGAACATTAGCCATCCAAGGCCCCAAATGTCTACCAACCAGAAGGATTGCCCAAATTTGGAGCTGTTCTGGGACTCAGTGAGGAAACCCCGACACAAAGGCAAGGAGTAAGGGTAACAAGAGAAAGCGAAGGGATTAATCTTGTGTGAGGCTTAACCAGTTCAGTCATGGTCATAGTGTTTCCCTACCCAGCAACAGCTCCTGTTAGGTGCCAACCTTAATCCTTGGCAGCTCTTTTTCACTTGCCAAATAATTAATGCAATAATGATGATGGAGCCATAAGTGTATAAGGGATATCCAACATCCCACAGAACAAAGGTAGGGCTCAACATAACCTAAACCTCACTAGCCATCCTTCTGCCTAGGCTTTCAGGGTTTTGGAACCTAATGCCTCCAAATTCTAGACCTTGTCATCTCTGCCTCACAGAGGATGGAACCAGAGTACCAGACTGATCATAAAGCCCTCCTGTTTCCCAAGGCATGCACAGCATCACAGACCTTTATCTGTCTAGGGAAGCTCACGTGACTCAAGTGTTCAGATGAGGGTGTCTGGTTGTCCGTGTGGGTAGCAGAGCCTGGGCCTAAAGGTGCCAAGGTCACAGGCAGCATATACTCTTTCGTGTCTCTCTAGCCCCTTTACCCTGATGGCTCAGCTGTCTCCTTAAGACAATAGTCTGGCGTCTATCCCCAGATAACTGGATCTTTAGGATCACTGCGTGCCCTATACGAGAGGGAGTGGCTAGGCCGGAGAAACCCTGTGAACTACATCACTTATGCTGGGAAGGTAATTAAAACACACCCAAGAGGATAGGGCACACATTGTCCTGTTAAGTCTTGGAAAGTGAGGGTTTTGATGTCACGGGTAATGAGGTGGTCAGTGTTGAGAGGTTCAGAAAGAGGACCACGTCTGACGTGGCAAGGAAAGGACACAGTGCTGTCCTTTTAAATAACTTCCTGAGAGTTCAATAAGGACTCCTGCCAGCCTGTTGTCAAGCTTGAAACGGGTGACAAGAAACCATCAACAGTGCCTTCCATGGAGGCACGTGAATGAGGCTCACTTCTGAAGCTTGATTTTCCAGAACAGCCCCTAGAGATCTTACAGCATCTTGCCTCTTCATGGAGATGGGTTATTGGTGAGACTTTTGATTAAGGATCACAAACTCGTGGCTCTTTGGTTGAAGCCACTATGGTTGGAATGTTTGGCTGAGTGTTTTATGAAAATCTGAATTTGAACACTTTTAGGCAGGGCAAGCTTTCTTCTGTTTAACCTCAGTACCCACCACTCCTATGTCCACTGATTCACATATTATTGTTAATTTCATGGCCCCTGTCAACAATACCTCCAACACTCCAGGACTTGGGGTTTTCCTTAAGAAGTTCTTGCCCTGATGAGAGTGGTCCCACAGCCCAAAAATTCTTAGGCTCAAAATCTCTGAAGAGGCTATTTTGCCCTTCCCCCAGCATCCAGTCCATCACTGAACAGGCGTGGTGAGCACTCAGTCTGTGCTCCTCTCTGAGCTGGGCAGGGTCAAAGGTACAAAGACATTTGAGTCATGTTATCTGCCTGCTCTCAAGACACTTAAAAATCTAGTTTCAAAGACAAGACTAATTCACACAAATCAAGAACCAACCTTACCAGGGGTGGGGAAGAGGGGAGTAGGGAGTTATTATTTAATGGGTAGAGAGTTTCTCTTTGGGATGATGAAAAAGTTCTGAAAATGGATAGTGGTGATGGTTGCACAACATTGTGAAAGTACTTAATGACACTGAAATGTATGCTTAAAAATGGCTAAAATAGTAAATTTTATGTTAAGTATATTTTACCACAATTTTAAAAACAAAAGGCAAAAAACCCAGTCATTAGCATGAGGGATTTTTTTACTAGCTACAAAGAAGATTCTGAAAATGATTTGACAAAGAAATGGATTTGTGAATGTTTTTCTTATGTGTCCTTTTTATATAGAAAAAAATAAAAACAAAACAGATCCTTACATTTAAGATCATTTAAGAAGAGTCTCGTCCTGAAGATGGGATGAATTGGAGCCATTTCAATTGGAGCCGTTTCCTGAACTTGCAAATTCTGTAATACAGGAATGAGAAGACCTTCAACCAAAGAGCACTGAATGACAAGTTAACAAAAATCAATGAAAAAGCAGCTTGCATCAGCGTTTTAGTAGCAGGTCAAGATACCTACAAAGTAGCTTGAACCTTTTATTACTTTTACTACGCCCGCCCTCCCCGCCCCTGCTTCCTGCAGCTGCTGCTGCCCTCCGTGCCGCTGCAGCACTTCTGTCTCCCACGAACCTGACCCAGTGCCACCTGCACGGGTTTTGCTGTCCTCCGCCCCTCAGCTGTGACGTATGTGTTTAATAAACTGCCAATCTCATGGGTCCGGCGTCAGGCGCTGAGCGTTCGGCCATCCCCAGAACCTTAGGCTGGGACTCTCTCCCTCACCAGTGGGATGAGGAGGAGGTGAGCAGAACACTGTGTCTCCTACCCAACCAGCTCCTGCTTCCTGCAGCTGCTGCTGCCCCCTGTGCCGCTGCGGCCGCTCACAGTCTCCCCTTAGCCTGACCTCCTGCCCAGGCCAAACCATCAGAGTCTGCACAGCGCACGCCTGCTCCAGCCACTGCACTCTTTACCTCACAGGTACCCACAGCCGCCGTCGTCCATTCAGTGGAGGACAGGAAGCCCTTGGAACCTCCTGCTGCAAACTTCTCCCCAGGCACTCGCCCAGCCTTTGCTCCGCTGTCTCAGAGCGGAGGAGCTCGAGCCAGGGACGATCTTACGCCCTTCTGCAGAGCGGGCCTTTAGTACAGGCTTATTTATGCGTTAGGTACTCATCGTCGGAGGGTTGTGTGGACGGGACCGGGGGATCAGCGTCTTCCTAACAAGGGCACATTCCGGTCGTGAACACACTGTCTGTCACATTAATCCTGTGGGCACAGATCCTCATATTTGCCCTTCCTGACTCATCGTTTACAGTGAACAGCAAAAAGGGAGACGAAGGACCTGAAAGCCTCTGTGGACTCTAGAGGGCTGCACAGCTGCCAGGGATTCATATTCGTTTCCAGAAAGCTTGCTAACGCCAGACCCTGCTTCCATGACAACGCTACAGCGCCACTCTTAGTGTGATAGAATTTCTTCAGGAAACTGTTCACAGTTCCCGATTCGTGTGTACCATGGGTCACCTCATAGCCCCCAAAGAAAAATCCCGACACACATGCCCCTGATGTGTTTGTCCCTCGGTACAAGCCTTACGAAGGGGTCGTGCTGTGCCTCATTCTCAGCGAGTCTTACTGAACACCTTAGACGTGTCCGGTGCTGGGCACAGAGCAGCATAGTTGCTGTTATTCAGCAGCAACATTTTTATTAATGCCCAAGAGCTAAGATTTCCAGGGAGTTGGGCAGGAGGCTCCAGAGTGGTGTCAGGCACGAGACCACCAGCGCTCAGGCGGCAGGTTCCTCAGGATGTGGAAGTGTAGGACGCAGCCGGAGGCACTAGAGGGCAGCACCTGCCCACCCAATGCTCCTAGTCCCGCGGTCTCAGTGACAGGAACTTTCAAAGGTCATCTGCCCCAGTGGCTCTCAATACTGACCTTACATCAGAATCACCGGGAGATGTAAAAATATAGATTTCCCGCCCTCATCCCAGACTTAATGAATCAGAATCTCTAGGAGCAGGGTCCAGCAGTCTGTATAGTAAGTATCAAAAATAATCCTCAAGCAGTAAAGCACTGGGCTCCAGGTGTGTCATTGGGAGGAAGTGGCCTCCAAAGGGCAACAGTTGTTTTCCACCCCCTCCCCCCCAGTTTTATTGAGATGTAATTGACATATAACATCATATTAGTTTAAGGTGTACAGCATAATGATTTGACATACGTTTATATTGCAAAATGATTACCACAGTATGTTTAGTTAACATCCATCACCTCACATAGTTACAATTTTTTTTTCTTCTGATGAGAGCTTTTAAGTTCTAATCTCTTAGCAGTCTTCAGGTTGAGGAGCTGCAGATGCAGCAACACAGACAGCAGACACGAGCCCAGGGGCCTGTCTGGAGAAGGGTGTGATAGCCAAGACAGGGCCAAGATACCCAGGGTGTGAAATAGATTTGAACCCAAATTAGGCTGATGCACTAACCTGACCACAAACGATGCTGTAATTAAGTTGTGCACTGTAATTTACCGACATGTGGAAGGTTAGTGCCTCACCCATTTTGATACTGTAGTGTGAACCCACACTGAGATGAGAATCACTAGATTAGAATCACCAGGGGATTTTCAAAAGTCCTGATGCCCAGCCCACCCTGGACCAATTCAAGTCCACTCTCTGCTGGAGATCAGGAATTTTAAAACTTCACTGGTACTTCCAATGTACACCAAGCTGGTAGGTAAGTTGGTGCATTCTAAAAGAAGGGCGTAGAAAAGTCACACCAAGGAGAGCCAAGGCTTCCACCTCCAGGCGTGGTTTAGAGGAAAGGCTGTCTGCGGGCAGACGCTCAGGCGGAGAACAGCAGACATTCTGGGGACATTTCTAATGGAGCCTTTGTCACAATCACCTACAGTGCGGCCTTGATACACAGTAGTTCCTCAATACGTTTAATTTTTGTGCTTGGGATTTCATCCTGAGAGCTCAGAGAATAAATGCCATATTTTCCCGGGCATTAAGGCCACTACTGTACAATATGTATTTATATGTATTTTTTGTCTAGGTGATAAATCCTGCTCTTCCCTCTCTTCTCCTATAGGCTATCCAGTTACACAAACTTACCAGTGCTATGCAAATGTTGCGCTTTCCTAAAAGGGCGGCATCCATGGGTTCACTGGTTTTCCATTTTCACCTTGGGTCATTGAGCCTCCACCGTGGCTGGCTGGCTCCATCTGGGGGGCATCACAGTAAGCAAAGCAAACAATGAAATTAATATTAAGTGTAAATATTCACCAACATATAATATCTACAACTAATTTTAAAGTGACAATCTGAAAATCGACTTTTAGCTGCCCTCAGCTTGGCAGGTGTCTGTGAGGCAGGGAGAGGAGGAGGAGGTGGCAGTGTACGGAGGTCCCTGTCTTGTTCAGGTGGAGGATGCTGGTGCTCACTAACCCTGGACCAGACAGAAAAACACAAGAGGAAATGAATTCGTGTGTAGCACCAGTCACCTGAAGAGTAGATATGGGATATACAAATTCCTCATCTCTACAGGAATGAAAAAGCGAGAATTTTAAAAACCCTGAGAGATGAACAAATGATCTTAATGAGTAGGTTCAAGAAGAGCTAGAAAGTCAATTAATAACAATTAACTAAAGATACATCTATCTCACCATAAAAGGGAAAATGTAAATAAACTAAATTTTTATAGTAATTGCTGTAGAG